AATAACTCAATTCTGTTAATCAAGTTAATCGTTAATCATTTACGATTCCCTAAACTGCTTAGAAAAAAAGTAAATTGTGACACTGTGAAATTAATTAGATATATACGGTGACGATGTGTTGTCATTTCTACCTCAATTTCTCAATTGAGATCTCAAAACACTTTTTTCAATAGAGATATGTCTTCCATGCGTTAAATGTAATACATTAAGTGTTTATTAAGTGTAATATTGATATGATAGCAAATATGTCAAGTAGGAAAGAAGTAGGACGAAAAAATAAAAAAAGATGAAAATAACAACGTCAAATCAACAACACAACAACACAATTTACTTTTAACTCAGCAGTTTAAAAAACCGTAAACGATTAACGATTAACTGATTTGTCAATTTTCTTAGTTATAAAAAATCGAATTTTGATTAAAGGATTGAATTATTAATTAAGCGCCTATTTGATCGGACGCGATTGTTAAATTAACCGGATATTTTAATTAATTTAATTTTAAGAAACAGGCATCCGATTTTAAATTGTTAAATATCCAGCAAACCATAAATATCAGTAACATAACATTGACGTTTGAATACCAGCTCAACTATATAATACTTCATGTAACTGATATGTATATATTATGTAACATGTAACAATTACTTAACAAATTACATGGTTGTGCTAACATTATATATCTATGTTATATTATTGGTATATAAATACGGTGCTGGTTTGCGAGGTAGGTTACAAACCGGTTAATCGATATAATGGAACCCTCTATTTTTTATTGCACACCTCGGGAGCTTTCCAAACAATTTAATTAAATATTGTTTGCATTAGATACTTTTCGTGTTACAATATAAGAATATACAGTAAAAAATAAGGGGTTTTATTAAAAAAAATCAATGTGACCTTGACCTGACCTTGGTAATTCCACCCAAGGTTAAATGGATATTACCATAAATTGCACCATTTTAAACCTTACAACTTTCGTTCAAAATATTTTTTTCTAAAATGCGTTGTTTCTAAGATATCCGATTGTTTCCAGACTTTTGGGACACCTTGTGTGTGTGTGTGTGTGTGTGTGTGTGTGTGTGTGTGTGTGTGTGTGTGTGTGTGTGTGTGTGTGTGTATTTCTTTTTCAAACTATATTTCCAATTATTTACATTTTATATATACAAAATATACACAAAATGTCAATGTTTGTATGATTATACAAGATTATATACAGGGTAATCCAGAACAACTTCCTGTTCTCGAAATATTATCCTTGAACGAATTTTAAAACAATTTTTCCTCTTACAATGTTATTCAACATTTCGTTTTTGAGTCATAAAGATAAATAATTTGTGTATTATGGGTCGAGTATAAATAGGTAGCGGCGGCAACTCTCTCATTGGGTGCGTTCCGTTTTCACGCATAATGCGCATGAAGCGCAGCGTTAGAGTGACAGAAATACGAAAGTAAGATAAAATGAGAGGGAGAGCACTCGGATGAGGTTCTCGAACCTAGGTTAGGTTAGTTCTCGAACGCATGAACTGCATCAGCTCCGAGTAGTGCAGTCTATGCGATCTCATGCGTTCGAGAACTAACCTAACCTAGGTTCGATAACCTCACCCGAGAGCTCTCCCTCTCTTTTTATCTCACTCTCGTATCTCTGTCACTCTAACGCTGCGTTTCATGCGCATCATGCGTGGAAACGGAACGCACCCATTGTGTCACGCAGCCATTAAGCCTTTCAGGACAGGGGGTTGCTCGGGGAGATAATTACAGGAAAATACGTATTCTATGGGTTTTTGGAGTCGTTGAATCCGAATCAGAACTTAGATTTTCAAAATTCTGTGATCCAAGACGGTGGATCTAATATGGCGGAAAAAATGATAAATAATATAAATTTCAGAAATTTCACTCAATTTCCAGAAAATTTGAATTATAAAACTTTTTAAAGATACTTTTTTGAGAACTATTGCTTTCGATATCAAGTAGCACAGAACTAACATAGACTTGCATGACGTGCTGAACACGGTGTGCGCTAACGTGCCAGTACACTTAGTTATCGGGGTATAATGAATATTTCGCGAATCATTACTTCGGAGATACTCTGAGAATTTGTGAGAAATTATTATAATTATCTAATCTTATTTACATTTTATGGTTACATTAGACAGATACCCCATCGTTTATAATAAGCGTTAATTTTTATAGATTTATACATAAATTTAATTAATTTAATTAAATCTTATATAAATAGGTAGATTTTTCTTTTTTTTAATTGTACTACTTTATAACTCCTCGATTCATCGATCGATACGGCGAATAAAAATAAACCTCCTATTACTATATTTGGTGTCTTTTTCTGATCACATCCAACGTCGAATACAAATAAACATATATTAATATTATTTGCGTTTTCTTCTGATAATAACACACGTGCGTGCTCCTTCCGAAACATACAGGGTATCCCGCGTAGACGTGCCAAAAGAAAAATATAAGTAAAACAGATAAAAGTGAACAAAAATTGTAGAGGTCATTTTTCAAACAACCACGTAAAATTTCGAAATAATAATTAAAATATTTGAACATATCAGAGCGCGGTGACGCGGGAGGCAAGACATACGGCTCGCCGCGGCCGGCGAAAAAAATAGACGATTGCTCGCGGGCCTATCTTATAGATCAGAGAGGTGGGCCGTTTGGCATATGGAAATGGGTAGCTCCGTGTATGCGTTCGTGTTAGTTCTGTGCTACTTGATATCGAAAGCAGAAAATGTGCGCACGGTGTCAAATTACGCAGTGCAGTATTCTGTCATTCTAAAGTGCACAGAACTTTCACAATACTCGCACGACATTTGCTTGGTTTACATCGTGCACTTGATACGCATACTAAATAGTAACTTTCTATTAGATAATCTTAATATCGACGATATATATACAACGGTATATTAAGTTGATATAATACTCATCAACAAAACGTATTATATTGATTAAATGCGTCGATATTAAGATTATCTAATAGAAAGTTTCTGTTTAGTACGCATATCAACTGCACGATGTAAACCAAGCCAATGACTTAAGCTTAGGAATGAAAGTTTAAAGGTAAGCGGACAAAATCCATAAAAAAAGAGGGGACAGCGTTGACAACGTTCAAAAATTCCTAGGATCCATAAATTCATTTCTCAAGGTTAATATCATTGTCGGACAAGAGAGTGTACAGAGTTGTGACAGGTTATATGTCACGGTGTCAAAACTACCCAGATAGTCAAATCTGCTCGAGCAAATTTTGCCCAACATTTGACTACAAATTTTGCTGCCAAAATGTCATCAAATTGGACACAACATCTGCTAAATCAAAGGTTGATGGCAAATTGGCGTCAAATACCAAACAAGATTTGTGCGGCGCAGTTTGACGTCAAATTGATACCAAATACCGAACAAGCTTGGTGAAATCTAACGTCAAATTGACGCCAAATACCGACCAAGGTTTGTGCGGCGCAGTTTGGCACCAAACTTTGCTCGGTATTTAGCGACAATTTGGCGTCAGATTTTGTCACCAAGCTTTGCTAACAAAACCCAAGCATATTGCGGACGCAGATGGCATCGGATTTTCCGTCAAATTTTAGTCATATTTGGTATCTATTTGGCGACAATTTGGTACCAAATTGTTTGCTAGGTAAACATCACGGGAGTGAGTGACAAGTTATGGAGACAGAGGTTAACACCAAATTTTGTGAATCGGCAGTTTCTCGTGCTATTTTGTGGAAGAAGAAGAAGAAGAAGATGAAGAAGGTTAGTACCAAATATCAAAAGCCGTAAATTTCAAATAACGTTATTTTTTTTATATAATACAACCTATGGTAAAGGCAGTCGCACTGTTTATTTTTACGCTCATGAACCCATACAGCACAGATCTTGCAGAGAATATTGCTGCAACGTTGCCGCAAGATCTGTGCTGTATGGGAACTCGATGCAAACGTTATTTGAAATTTACGGCTTTTGACATTTGGTACTAATTCGTTTCTTCTTTTTCTTCTTCCACAAAATAGCACGAAGAACTGCCGATTCACAAAATTTTAACCTGTGTCTCCATAACTTGTCACTCACTTCCGTGATGTTTACTTTTGACACCGTGACATATAACCTGTCACAACTCTACACCTCTGTATACTTATCCGACAATGATATTAATCTTGAGAAATTAATTTATAGATCTTAGGAACTTTTGAACGTTGCCAACACTATCCCCTCTTTTTTTATGGATTTTGTCCGCTTACCCTCATCCCGCAACACTCAGGAGGTAGCGCGCGTTCCAAGTAGTATATAGGTCTGTTCTTTTGCACTGCTGCACTGGTGCAATAAGTTAGAGTGAGACAAATATACATTTGTTTCATTCTAACTTATTGCACCAGTGCATCAATGCAAAGCGAAAGAACAGACCACTTATCTCAGTGATAACAAGTCAGATCAGGGTTGCTCAAATTTGAAAAAACTAAAAAATCTAATTTAAAAAACAGGTTTAAAGAAACTAGAAATATAATTTATATATATATATATATATATATTTTTTTTTTTTTTTTAATACATTAAGAAATTTATAATCATTGTAATAATGATAATGAAAAAAATAGAGCAAGAATACAAAAATATAACCAGATGTATAATTATATAACCCACAACAGCAAACCAAAAAATATTATATTATTTGAGCACAAGAATATAATTACTGAAAGTAATATAATTACTGACTTATAATTATAATCATTACAATAGCGAAAAGTAGAAAACTAGATAAGAAAATATGATATACTATTTTAAATATCCAAGTTCTGCACATTTTTAATATTAGTTGAACATATATTGATGGTAAAATCTTTGAATTGTTCAAATAAAGTCCAATAAAGTCTAGGCATCTAGCAATTCCAGGTCAGATTAATTTTCGATAACACAATTAAATAACAGATAGATCTTTTTCTTATTAAAAAATAAACATAAGCTATACGAGTATCTTACTTAACCACAATTATAGAATGAATAGTTTATTATTATACAACACATACATATTACAATAGTAGGTGAAAGATATTATACAAATCTAGAAGCAATTGCTAGTAATTTAGTGTAATCTGCCCCTTTGCTATGAGTTTTCTCTTTCATTTTTGTTCTCAGTATATGAGGAATAGGAACATGTATCCGTGTACCTAAAGGAGTTCCATTGTCATCTATGAGGACCAAATTATTACTGTCGAACTTGGCAACCTTAGGAGCTTGTTTCTGTTTCAATCCAATTAATATTCCTTTCTTTTTCTCACCTTTTATTGCCACCAAGATCCTATCTCCTGTATAATTTATATTAGTATTACAACATCAGTTGCTGTGTAAACAACTTGTCATATGTATATCTATTTTTTGTATTACCGATCAATCCAACTCCTGTTTTGTTGTAGACATGTATGCATCGTGGTGGTCTACCCTCCATCATAGCTTGCTTTCCTATCTCACTATTATCCACCACTCTCAATCGGCTTAATTTAATTATTTGATTTGTAACAGCTGATGTAGAAATGTTTCTGTATGTATTATTTAATATAATTGAAGGCAACAACATTGCAATTGCTCAATTTCTCTTCAGAACACAGACTGAAACACAATAAAAATCTAATTTACTCCATTAAATTTAATTATAATTAAATTTAATTATAACTAAATATGTAAATTATAATCTAAGTTAAGCCATTTATTAATTTTATGTTTAATATAATATAACCTTAAATATCTGAACTATTAAAAGAAGTCGAAGACACTGACAAATATATATTTATATATATTTTTCTGAGCGAAGACAAATCTGAAATAAGTTATTTTTCCTGAATCTTTTTTAATCATGATTACCTTAAAAAGCGTGGAGTTTATACACTTTTAATTCTAAATGAGATAATTTCTCGAATTGCAACAGCGCCTCTACGAAAACAGCTGATATTGGGTACGTTCAGCGAACTCAACAGTTGCACAACAGTTGAGCAATTCGTCAATGGCCACGTTCAGTAGAACAAGTGATCAGTAAGTGCTCAGAGAGCTCTTGTATATGATTTGGCATATTCTTTTAGATCTTCAACTATACTCCAATCAGATGCAAGAGCTCACTGAGCGCTTACTGATCACTTGTTCTACTGAACGCGGCCAATGTAATTGGTGTAAAATTAGAGATCTAACAGTAAGGGCTATCGCACACAAATTGACATAACTGCATATGCATAGCATAAGACCGTATGTACCAATGAGCATCGAGTATTAAGTCGCCATATTGGTGTTCGATGCTTAATATTCGATGCTCATTGGTCCATACAATCTTATGCTATGCATATGCAGTTATGTCAATTTGTGTGCGATAGCCCTAAGGACCAATAATCACTGACCGCTCACTAATCAGCTATGTTTTCTGAACGCAGCCGTTGGGTGCGTTCGGGAAGCACACTACCAACGCTACCGCGTTGTTCTATCTTTATCGCTTCTTAAGCCCATTCTACAATTGCGTGAACGTGGTTGTAAGTGGTTGTATGTGATACGACAACCAATCAGAATAAAGCAGTCAGTAAAGAAAAACAACATATTGATTGGCTGTCGCACGGATTTCCGCCGCGCGGCAAGCATTACCGCGTCGGGAGCGTCCCGATTGACCACGATACGATTGAACACAACCAACCGATAAAAAGAACTATCTAGTGAATTACTAGGTCGAACCAATCATTACAATCTGTGTCCAATCGTATCGTGGTCAATCGGGTCTCACCCTACCGCGTCCTGTGTGCAGGAGCCATATGTCTATACCTTTGACTATATAATTATGGACTGCTAGTTGCTAATGGCTCCTGTACACAGGACGCGGTAATGTTTGCCGCGCGGCAGAAGTTCACGCGACAGCCAATCAATATGCTACTTTCCATAATAACCTTCTAGCTCTTACGGAAAAATAACATATTGATTGGCTGTCGCACGGACTTCCGCCGCGCGACAAGTATTACCGCGTCCTGTGTGCAGGAACCATAAGGCCTGTTCTTTGTAGCTGCACTACTGAACTAGTGCAATAAGTTAGAGTGAGAAAACGTATATTTGTTTCACTTCAATATATTGCACCAGTTCAGCAGTGCAACTACAAAGAACAGGCCTATAATTCTTTAGAGGTTCTAAAAATGGCGTCACGTTTTCCATTCATGTTACGAGTGTAAATGCAATTTTGATACACTTTTCACTCTTGCTTGGGCTCAAGTGTAAAAAGTATATCAGAATTGCATTTACACTCGTAACACGAACGAAAATCATGACGTCATTTTTAGAACCTCTAAAGAATTAATATGCACTAAGTGTGAAACTGTAAAAAGTTCGATTAATGAATAAACTTATTGGATATTAGCTATTTTCAGACAGCTCACATCTTCAAAGGACGTCCTAAAAATATTCTGATGACATCCCTCCATCCTAAAAGCGTCTTCAGAACGTATTTTGGAAAATTTGTATTGTATGAGGTGCACTAATATGCAACTGACATTAGGTGTAAAAGTGTGAATAGTACAAGCAACTCGACAAACCTCACGTGTATCTATAGTGTCTCTTATAGTGTCTCTATTTCAGCTGAAATCGGGATTAGCTAAAACCATGACTCCTCTCCTTCTTCTCTCTGACTCTATGCAATAGGACCGCACTCTGTCAAAAGTGCAAGCAACGCGAACAAAGCTATGATATTCGTTATATTGAGCTTTTGAGGAACACTTTAAGACGAATTTTATTGTGATTTATATATGTTAATTCTTCATATACTCATCTTCTAATTCTAATTCTTCTTCTGTAGATATTCTTTAAAGCATAAATTCTTTATAAATTTTTACTCACATATACGCATATCCCTATACTATTTGAGTATTTTCAAACTTATAATTTCTTTTTTTATTTTCTCAAGACATATTTCTCATATCTTGTGTGAAATAACACATGTAAATGAAAGAAGTATATTAATTTTAAAATAATTTACGTCATAAATTATTTTAAATGTGGAATACACAAGATATAACAGTGTTCTTACAACAGACAATGACCATTCATATCATATTTATATTATAAACTTTACTTGCATATGATATAGATATTACTGAATTAAGAATGTACTATTTTCTGTTCTGCTTTTGTGGCTTTTTTATTTTCTGTTCTGCCATCTGTAATGGTGACGATATCAAACCCATCAATATACAATCAGCTTCTAAAAGAGTTATATCTGTGGTAGCACCTAAGAACCTAGAAGATAGCTCCAAATCCTTGATCCTTAAACGAACTTTTGATCCTCTGACATAGTATCTAAAAGAAAAAACACATCTTAATATTCAACAATTAAAATATAATTAAAAATATTAATACAAATGAAATATATAGAAAGAAAGAAGGATCCAGACACATACTGTCCATTTTTAACAGGTCTTCGACAAACACAGTGAAATTTCCATCCAAAATCAATATATAAATCGTCATCAATCACATGATATATCTCACCAATTACCATTTTTCCTTCAGGGTCTCCCAACTAAAAAAAAACCACAAATTTATCAAAAATTAGAGTTAGAAGGCTTTACAATATACAATCAGAAATATAAACGAAAATGGGCTTGTAAGAGCTAGGTGCCAGAAGGAAGTGCACATTTATTACATCTTAAATGTCTAATCAAAGTTGCGCGTACAAAAATAATAATTATCGCAACAAAAAAACAAACGTTTTAATCCCAAAAAACTTTGTTTATAATTATACATTAATAAGGATCTAATGCGGGATCGAAATGTTTGTTTTTTTTTTGTTATGATTATTATTTTTGTATGCACAACCTTTGATTAGACATTTAAGATGTAATAAATATGCACTTGCTTCTAACACCCAGCTCTTACAGGCCCATTTTCATTTATATCTGATTGCATAAATTGATGTTTGACAAGTATTATATATGTAATGTGTAAATTTGCAAGTGCATTTGCAAACAGCAAATAAATACTTTGTACAATTAGGCCCGATCTACAATAGATGGAATAAGGAGTAGGAGTAAGATGAAATGGAAATAATTTATTTCGCTTACTTCCTTATTCCAGCTCCTTACTCCAGTTCTTACTACTTAATTCAGGCTTACTCCATGTCATGTTGATGGGCAAACTTTTATTGGAGTAAGGGAGTTAGCGAAATAAATTATTTCCATTTTGTCTTACTCCTACTCCTTACTCCATTTATTGTATCGGGCCTTACACTATAAATATATTTACTTACATCGACAAACTTGGAGTGTCGAATCAAGGAAGCAAATGTTTGCGGTATCTCTGGTTCTTTCTTATTGATGGACGAGAATTTTTCGTAACTTTGCGCAAAACCACTTAGTTTTACTTTAGTCCCTGACGCTTCCGTATTATTTTTCGTTTCTACTTGCACTTCTTTTTCAGCAACGGGAGACTCTACAAACGTCGTGTTTTTGTCTCCTCCTCCCGAATCACTTTTCGTACAGAAACATCTTGGCGATATCAAGTTCATTTTGAAAACATTGAGAGATCGTAAATGTGTCAATACTCTATCGAGACTATGTATCTTGTTCATGATAGTAAATAAAATTCTATTTTAGATCGCAATATTTGGTACTCTTGTTAATTCTTTAGTTATATCGAAGAAGATACGGAAGGACTCACATGCTTTAGAGAGGTTATCAGTTTCAATATATGGCTGAACAAAATTCGAACTAATTTAGAGAGGTTATGTTACAGTTGCTTCTAGAGGTTTGTTCTTTTTAGCTGAACTGGCTACACTAGTTCAAGTAGTGTACTATTACGTCCACGATAGATAACTATATAGGGAAATTTGAAAGTAGTGAAATCAGTGACTTACGTGGACGGTCAACAGAGTGATGACTCCGCTTTTGGGTCACTCTGCTTTTCACCAAGTTTACCCTGGGTCTCCGGAGTCTGGCGAAACAATCGATGAATCTGGCGAAAAATCAGCGCTGCTCGTTCTCCTGGCTCGGTCTCGGATGTTCCGGCGCTGCGTGGGTTGATGCGGCCCGCGATTCCGAATTTCGATTTCGCAACGTTCGAAAAATGAAGGGCAGGCAAAAGTAATTGCAACACAGTCGGATTTTACGACTAATATATTCCAAATAAATACACGAGAATTACCAAAGACTAATTATGAGAAGAAATAATCGCCTTCTCAACAAATGCGCGCGTTTTTATATGTCGCTTTGTCTCTGAGAGTCGTTTCCTGATTGGCTCATGGAGTCATGGAGATGGAAGAGATTCATCGGTATGATGGGATGAATCTCTTACGAATCACCCTACGATATTAAAGAACGCCAACAGAAGATAACAGAAGTTGAAACAGCTGACCAGACATATGCAAAGAGCTCCTGGTCCATCCATATCATCTGACGTTTACCAATACCAAGGTGCCTCGCGACTTTATTCAGTGGCCTGGTTTACATCGTACACTTGATACGCGTACCAAATAATAACTTTTTATTAGATAATTTTAATATCGACGATACATATAAACAACGCTACATTATGCTGATATAATACTCATCAAGAAAACGTATTGATTAAACGCATCGCCGCTGATATGCATTGTCAATATTAGATTATCTAATAGAATCATAACTGATATCTCACTCGTATCTCGCTCACTCCAGTGTAATGGCTTCTGCACACAGGACGCGGTAATGCTTGCCGCGCGGCAAAAGTCCGCGTGACAGCCAATCAATAAGTTGTTTTTCCATAAGAGCTAGAAGGTTAGCACGGAAAGCAGCATATTGATTGGCTATCGTGTGAACTTCCGCCGCGCGGCAAGCATACCGCGTCCTGTGTGCAGGAGCCATAACAGGTACATTGACGGATACGGTGACGTTTCCGAACGCAGCCAAGGAGATCCTTCTTTCTCACCGATTTGATTGAAACTTTATAATATTATGTAATTATAGATGCGTAGAAAAGGAATATGAAAGTATGCACATATACCTATACGCTGTCGACATGACAGATTGTATAACCTCAAAATCTGTCATCTTTTACCGCATCATAACTTTATTACGATTAACGAGTGACATTTTTTACTTTTATATTTCTATGCATTTAATTACATAATATTACTAAGTTTTAACCAAATCGGTGAGGAGGAAGGGTCTCCTTCAGTTTTATCCTTAATAATTACCGTTTCTTTATTTTTCAATCAACTTAAACCGGTTTGATGTATTTATTTCATACCGTGGCTGCGTTCGTTTTGGCGCTTACAACGCTCTGAGCATCATTTCATCCTTGTTTCTATCAAATACTAAACAAGAACAAATGATGGGTGCTTTCCAGTTGCATATACTGTGTTACACAAAACCAGTTTATTGGTTGCATATTATCTTACAAGATATTTTAGATAATATGTGACCAATAAACTGGTTTTGTGTACGATGTGTCAAGATGTGTTATGCAATTGGAAAGCACCCGATGCTTACACGCGCTATAAGCGCCAAAATTAACGCAGCCCATGTATAATATACGAAACAAGGATAGCCCATATTTGTCCTTGTCGCACAGACGGCCGCCATTGTCCTGCGCTCCTTCCATTAGGGGTGCGTTCGAAAACATCACCCGTGTGTATTTTGTCACACTCAGATCGTTCGAAAACCCCTAGTGGGCACACTGACCATGCGACCATGGCCGTTCGAAACCGTACTCCGTGGACCACTCGTGTGACTTTTCTCCACTCTCTTTTGCGCGGTGTGAATCGGTGGAGATGGTGGAGAGTGCGCAAAGAGTGCAATACAGTATGAAATTACTAAATTATTTATGGTTTTTTGTTCTTCGAAACATTCGTACAACCATTAGCCATCACGGTAAGATAAAAAATTTAAATACAGCAGTGTAGGTTAGCCAGGTTTAGGTTTATTTCTATAGTGATGTATATTGTCAGAATATTGTCTTTAAATATAAATAAAGCTTATTAAGCTTTTTGTATTTTATAGGTTCTGAAATTTTCTTACGAGATACGAGGCACGTTAAAAGTC